GAGACACTGACATGTGGTAGTGATGGTGGTCTGTAGTTCGAGACACTGACATGTAGTAGTGATGGTTGCCTGTAGGTGGAGACACTGATATGTAGTAGTGATGGTGGTCTGTAGGTGGAGACACTGACATATGGTGGTGATGGTGGTCTGTAGGTGGAGACACTGACATGTAGTGGTGATGGTGGTCTGTAGGTGGAGACACTGACTTGGTCTTGTGATGGTTGTCTGTAGGTGGAGACACTGACATGTAGTGGTGATGGTGGTCTGTAGGTGGAGACACTGACATGTGGTAGTGATGGTGGTCTGTAGTTCGAGACACTGACATGTAGTAGTGATGGTTGCCTGTAGGTGGAGACACTGATATGTAGTAGTGATGGTGGTCTGTAGGTGGAGACACTGACATATGGTGGTGATGGTGGTCTGTAGGTGGAGACACTGACATGTAGTGGTGATGGTGGTCTGTAGGTGGAGACACTGACATGGTGTGGTGATGGTGGTCTGTAGGTGGAGACACTGACATGTAGTGGTGATGGTGGTCTGTAGGTGGAGACACTGACTTGGTGTTGTGATGGTGGTCTGTAGGTGGAGACACTGACGTGTAGTAGTGATGGTGGTCTGTAGGTGGAGACACTGACATGTGGTAGTGATGGTGGTCTGTAGTTCGAGACACTGACATGTAGTAGTGATGGTTGCCTGTAGGTGGAGACACTGATATGTAGTAGTGATGGTGGTCTGTAGGTGGAGACACTGACATATGGTGGTGATGGTGGTCTGTAGGTGGAGACACTGACATGTAGTGGTGATGGTGGTCTGTAGGTGGAGACACTGACATGGTGTGGTGATGGTGGTCTGTAGGTGGAGACACTGACATGTAGTGGTGATGGTGGTCTGTAGGTGGAGACACTGACTTGGTGTTGTGATGGTGGTCTGTAGGTGGAGACACTGACGTGTAGTAGTGATGGTGGTCTGTAGGTGGAGACACTGACTTGGTGTTGTGACGGTGGTCTGTAGGTGGAGACACTGACATTTAGTGGTGATGGTTGTCTGTAGGTGGAGACACTGACATCTAGTGGTGATGGTGGTCTGTAGGTGGAAACACTGATATGGTGTTGTGATGGTAGTCTGTAGGTGGAGACACTGACAGGTGGTAGTGATGGTGGTCTGTATGTGCTGACACTGACCTGATGTTGTGATGGTTGTCTGTAGGTGGAGACACTGACATGGTGTTGTGATGGTGGTCTGTAGGTGGAGGCACTGACATGTAGTAGTGATGGTGGTCTGTAGGTGGAGACACTGACATGTAGTAGTGATGGTGGTCTGTAGGTGGAGACACTGACATGTAGTGGTGATGGTGGTCTGTAGGTGGAGACACTGACTTGGTGTTGTGATGGTGGTCTGTAGGTGGAGACACTGACATGTAGTGGTGATGGTGGTCTGTAGGTGGAGACACTGACTTGGTGTTGTGACGGTGGTCTATAGGTGGAAACACTGACATGTAGTGGTGATGGTTGTCTGTAGGTGGAGAAACTGACATCTAGTGGTGATGGTGGTCTGTAGGTGGAAACACTGATATGGTGTTGTGATGGTAGTCTGTAGGTGGAGACACTGACAGGTGGTAGTGATTGTGGTCTGTATGTGCTGACACTGACCTGATGTTGTGATGGTTGTCTGTAGGTGGAGACACTGACATGGTGTTGTGATGGTGGTCTGTAGGTGGAGACACTGACATGGTGTGGTGATGGTGGTCTGTAGGTGGAGACACTGACATGTAGTGGTGATGGTGGTCTGTAGGTGGAGACACTGACTTGGTGTTGTGATGGTTGTCTGTAGGTGGAGACAGGCGTAGCCGTCTATCCAATTCATCCTATAGATGCTCTATCGGGTTGAAATCTGGGTTTCTGGAGGGCCAGGGGAGAACACCAACGTTGTTGTTGTGTAGACAGGCTCTTGCGGTCCAGCGTTGTTCTGCTGGAATACACCATTGCCGTTGGCTGCAAATGGGAGGACGTGTGGTAGGAGAATTACGTTGATGTATCGTTGAGCCGTAACATTATCACGTCATCACGCTACTTCCACCACACCTGTCCACTTCCTGCATGATGTTTCTGGCGTAATGTTCTCCCCGACGTCTGTAGACCTGTGTTCTTCCATCCTCTCGACGGAGAAGAAATATTCATTCGTCGCTGAACCAGACATCTCTCCATCGCAGTTGAAGCCATACCCTGGGCTGACGACACCAATGTAGTCGTTGTTCACGATGTCGACTCAATATGACGCGTCGAACAGGACCTCGTAGACCTGCTGCTCTTAAACTGTTTCGTACGGTCTGGTAGGAGATTCTGCGCAGTCCGGGCATGTTAGATGCGGTTAAGGTGGCTGTAGTCGTCCTTTTACGTAGGTGGCGTAGTCGGATGAGGCTATCTTGGGCGAGGATGGTTGGTTACTCTTGGTCGTCCCGACCTTGGTCGATCACGTGTTATCCCATGCTGTTGACACCGATACCATAGACTTGTGATGGTGCTGGGCGCTACATTGAAAACCCTGGCTACAGCTGATCTGGATTCCTCTTCCTGCAAGCGGCCTTAACGTTGTTTCTGTGCCCTTCTCTTAATCTTGGCATGTTGTTGAACTGTCACCGTTCGATTGACGAAGATGCCAGGCAATCAGAAACCCTGTACTTTTATACCGTTCATAGTGCTGCTGCACGTGCAGTACGTGCAGCTCCATGGCCCTTTTGTTAATGCACTGGGTGCGTTTTTCCGAATCGTACCTGTTTTCCGACCAATGGTTTGTCGTTGTTGTGATCATGTTGCTCCGGGAAATCTGTCCCTGACACTATAAGTCATTGAACCTCTTTATTTTGATACTCTTGGTCCTCTAATTTTGCTTTTATGGCCAAACATTTCGGTATTGCATTTCTTTCTTTGAAGAGTATACTACTGTCGCTATAATACCAAGAACTACCTGTTCCCATCTGAAATAAGCCTCTCTGAAATAAGAATTTTAATTTATAAAGCATCAGATTCTAGATCCATTATGTTAACGTTTCTAGATAGTCCTATTGATTGTTTTGTCAAAAATAATATTTCTCCTCAATACTTTGGGTGTTTCCCGTATGCACTGGCTGTGCACAGAAATTCTCACAATGAATTAAGGTTTCTCTAAAAAGTACTGTATCATTTTATACTAATTTGATTTACGTATATTATGTTATCAAATAGTCTCAAATCTAAATTCTATTGATTTTCTGTTTCAAACATGTCACTTGCTTCATGGTTCTGGTCTGTACCGTACACACTTTACTTGATCCAAGATCACCATTAATGCAGATGTCCCGCATGTACGGGTGTATGTGACCTAGTTTTCGCAAACAGCTTGCGTCATCAATGCTTTTGAGTCATACATTGATATAATCGTCACCGGCATTTGCCTTTTACGCCCCATGGAATCTGAATTAATAAACCTTTAGGTTCTTGATCCACAAAACTTAGTCGTATTGAGTTTTTTTTCATGATAATCCTTTTGCTCAATACGTGTCATAATTGTCACCGCCATTTGCCTTTGACGTCCAACGGAATCTGTTTCGGCGATAATCGAGACTGGTTTTTCTCTGGCGTTGCCGTTATTTTGTTACAGCTACATGCAGCTTTTAAAAAAGTTAGTTGGTTCAGGACGTTGTGAACAGGACTTCAGTTATACCATGACGTGTCAATATAATGTCGGATGAGAGCCCTAACTGACACAGGCCGTAGTGTACGCTTTGTTGTTGTACGGGTTTTGTTACAACCAGGTAATTATAATCGGGACAAATCAGGGATTCGAACCCACGTGCATTGGAATCTCTGCATAACGATTTGCAGCGCCTTACACGAGTGAACCGTCCATGCACACTCAACCGATGGAACAATTAAAGTATGTAAGAAATAAAGACAAACGCATGATATACATTGCTAGTCGTTCTGTATTATCAACCATGAAAAGGTAAAGTACAACAATACCATTCCATATGCTCCAACACACTACAATACTATTCCACATTCTCCAACATACTGCAATATCATGCATATTCTCCAGCATCAAAAACCATGATTATTCTACTGTCGACATAATACCATGTACTAACTGTTCCGATTTGAAATAAGCCTCTCTGAAATAGGTATTTTAATTGATAAACCTTCAGGTCCTAGTACCCATAAAGCTTACGTTTATTGCTAGTCGTATTGATGTTTTTGTCATTAATAATTCTCTTGTTCAATACTTTGGGTGTGTCCCGCATGAACCAGCTGTGCACATATGATCTAACAATGAATTTAACCGAAAGGTTCTAGATCCATAAAGAGAGACAGACAGACAGACAGACAGACAGTCAGACAGACGGACGGACGGGAGGACGAATGAACAGACAGACAGACAGACTTTATTTTTGTACTTTAGGCCCTAGGCCCATAATACAATCAAGATGGATAAAATAATTACATTGTTTGGAATAATGTATGATGTTAACTGAGAGCTAGGTTGCCCCTAATTTATTATCTGCTGTATGATCGAGCTAATAGATCCATCTATAGAGAGAGCTGTATATCATTGATCGTGTTGCATAATGTTATGATACCAGACTACAATGTGATTACTCCTTGTACAGTTAAACAAATACTGTAAATCTCATTATGCATTTATCATTGATGTAGACTGAGACTTGAAAACATAACTATGTCAGTTAGATGGCATTTATAGTGTTTAGAGAATAAGTAGTAATATTATGATTGTAATGGTGATGTTTTAGCATTCTCCGTAATGTAATCATAAAATTTGCAGAATGTCTTCTTCATCTTTTGCACCATGTGTACTTATTGTCTGGAATATTATTTGACTCTGACTTGTTTAATTTCTGTGACTGTAGGTGCATAGCCATAGAGGCTTCACACTGACTGTTTTGCACCATTCTGATACAATAGATGCTCCCTTGAGTATTTGTTTTTACTGCACGCGAGTGAGCCGCGATGGTCAGAGAGTTTGAGAAGTGCGGAAATTTAACTATTGAGATGTGTTACATGGCCGAGATCCACTCTTCAGGTACAGAAAACATAAATATGAGACAATATTAAGATTTATAGGCATTTCATAAGCTGTTGTCAGTCAATTTCTTACATTTATTGGAAAGTTGAATTATTTAGCCACCTGCCATACTGTATCCTATTTTCGTTGTAGAGGTGCGCGTTATCGCAGGAAAATCTTCATATATAGCAAGTTTTATGTCATAAAACCTGTGTTATTGAGATTATTAATTGTGTTAGACACTATCTACTGCCAACATGGTCAGTGTTAATGCTTTATTTTTATATTAGTGTGTAAACATAACATTATCAAAGTTGCATGTAGCAAGGGAGCAGCCATTGTATTACAGTGTAAGGTATCATGCTATTGCTGTGTTGCAATTATATTATAAAAGAGTACTTCAGCATGTTTAATTACATGTATTGTCATGACAGTGAATGAAGGATACATTTAATTACATTGCATCATTCTGTAATTTTCAGAACCCTTGAAAAGTAAATTCCGTGTTAGAAGAAATCTCGGCTTTGTGATCTCTGTATGATTCTTTCTAATAATTCCTACCATAATGTACAAACTGAATAAATAAATGAGTATCTGAAAAAGAAACCAAAAAAAGCCTTGTAACATGAATTAGGACAACGATGTTGAGTGCAAATAGTGATGCTACCAAGACACTTGGATATTCTTATAGTTATCACGTTTATACAATCATGTGACCTGTAATGGGTGGCGAGTACTAAGATCTGATTTTAATGAAATTGTGAATTTATTGAATAGTGTCATTCCATGCCAAAGCCTTTCGCAAATATACAGCAACAGTCAACTGTCATAACAATTTACAAAGGGTTCTGGGAACATTTCTTAGCGCAGGGAAATCAAGCAGTAGTCTGAAATTATCAGTAACATAATCTTATATTGATAATTTCTTCATATCTAACCAGGATAATGTATTAAGATTTTCTTATTAATGTTGGTTTTCATTTTGCTTTGAAAAATACAGCAGCATACGAAAGTCGTGGATTGTAGACAGGAACTTATTTGATTTGACAAGTTTTCACTTGGAAGTCGTTGGTATTGATGCTGTACTACTGTGACCATCGCAAAGCAAAATATTTCAGGCAAATGTCAACAAAACGGACAAATATTCAAATCACGAATATAATTATTCGTAACATAATTTGGTTCTGAACATCACCCCCAAGTGCCAGCCCCCCGGGGCACCATCACCCCCAAGCGCCAGCCCCCTGGGACACCATCACCCCCAAGCCCCAGCCCCCTGGGGCACCATCACCCCCAAGCGCCAGTCCCCTGGGACACCATCACCCCCAAGCGCCAGCCCCCTGGGGCACCATCACCCCCAAGCGCCAGCCCCCCGGGGCACCATCACCCCCAAGCGCCAGCCCCCTGGGACACCATCACCCCCAAGCGCCAGCCCCCTGGGACACCATCACCCCAAAGTGCCACCCCCCTGGGGCACCATCACCCCAAAACGCCACCCCCCTGGGGCACCATCACCCCAAAGCGAACAAAATCTCAACTCAACCCCAAATCATCAACTACAAAAACATAAACAACCGCACACCTATCCCGGGCAGGACAACCACACAAACACTCTTTCTCACATTCAAAACAACAAAACTACCTTCACACATTCTTTTTGGCACATTCACATACAAAGTAAATCAAGTCAGAAAAAAACCACACAATCCTTCATATGCCACTCATTCGACCACCCTACATCCACATGCAGACAACCGCCCATGTGTCAGAAATGCGGCTCGCATAGACACGAAGCTGCGGAGTGCACATGGGCCCCATACTGCATTCACTGCAAATCTGAAGGACACTCGGCAACACAAAACACCTGCCCCACAAAACAAAGATACATACTTAAACTCAACAAACACATAACAAAGACACATACTTAAACTCAACAAACACATAACAAAGACAAATACTTAAACTCAACAAACACAAAACACAGACACATACTTAAACTCAACAAACACATAAAAAAGACACATACTTAAACTCAACAAACACATAACAAAGACACATACTTAAACTCAACAAACACATAACAAAGACACATACTTAAACTCAACAAACACATAACAAAAGAACACCTACCCAAACCGGCAACTATCTGTACATACAATTCTATCCCCGAATACGACTAGCTCAGTACCACCTCCGACTCGACATCCAGCTCCCTACCTGACCCCATTCCATCCCACCCACCCCACCCCATCCCCCCAAAACGAAACGCAAACAACTTGTCTCTACTCCCAACCCAACCTCCACAACCCCCTTCCAGCCGACCCCCCAACCCCTCCCCCTCCCTACCTTCATCCACCCCCCTCCCCACACAACCCCGTCCCAATCCCTCTATTAGGCATAACCCTCAAACTATACCAAAAGGGGCCCTGCTACCAACCCCGGACCCTCCCCCTCCCCTGCCTGACCCTGCCCTTACTAACCCAAACCCAGTCGCCATAGCCCCTAGTGTCACACACACCTAAACTTCCAGACAGCCCTTAAGGCACTCAAATAAAGCTCCTCCACCCATCTTATTCTAAATCAAGCCCCTAAACACCATCCTATCCAGTTTAAATCTCCCCTCCATTCTAAAATCCGACAATGGTGTTTATTCAGTGGAATTGCAATGGAATCACCTCCAACGGGCATGCACTTAAGTTACTCATTGCCCCTAACAAAATTAGACCTTGCAATAAATTGATAAATTGCAGTCCAAGAAAACCAAAATATCACCCAAAAGAGCCTTCAAAATCCCAGGCTATATTTTCATTCGGCAAGACAGACCGCGACCCACAAATCTCCCCGGACCCCCACATGGAGGCCTCGGTTTCTTCATCAAAGACCATCTACACTATGAAACATCAAATATTCCACCCCCTAATCTCGAATGCCTGGCAATCACAACACCTATTAATCAAACTAATATTACCATCATAAATGTATATCACACCAAAACGAAACCCTTTACAGCTGAAGACCTGGAAATCTTATCAAAATTCATCAACCAAAATACCCTCTTCTTAGGTGATTTCAACGCTCACAACCCACTGTGGGGCACTAAAAAATATACCGACAAACATGGCAAATTAATTAACGACTGGATTGATACCAATGGCCTCATCTGACTATATAACAATCAACCAACTAGGATCCACAACTAACCTTCACCCAACCCTTTCCTGGGAGGTACATTCAGACACCTGGGGCAGTGAATTTCTGTATCATCCACTAGAGAAATTCCAAATCCATCCTCCCCTCTTTCTACCCCACCCACCCACAACTCCAACCCCCTTTAGACCAAATCCCCCAGCAAACAAATTTCAATTTTAAAAAGGCTGATTGGCAATCTTTCACTAGACTATGCAATCAAACAAATACACAAGATATCCATAAAACAGACATCGACATATTCAACTCAAATTTAACCAACACCATCCACAAAATAGCTACTAAACTCATACCCACAACAACACACTCCCCGACACATACACATGTCCCTTGGTTGAGCTCAGAAAATCAAGGAAACAAAGGCAAAAAGCATTAAATAAAGCCAAACTCCCTTTGGCCAGACATTCTGCTAAACAGCTCATTAGAACAGCCAAAAGAAAACATTGGGAAACCTTCACTAGCACCTTGAAAATGGGGAAACAATACCAAAATTCTATGGAAAAAACTAAAGGCAATTAATGGAAACCAAAAAACTTTTATAACACCCACTATTCCTAATCTACATACAGACAAAGAAAAGGCTAATTGACTACATGTACGTGTTTCCTATTGTATGTACTGTTATATATATCTATGTAAATATTGTTTGTGAGGTGAGACTCAAATGAACAATCTGTCTGTATGATTGTAAATTAGGCCGACTCTGTAAATAGATACGACTTTTTCTTAGGCGAGTGACATTGTGTATTCAAGAGTAAACTGCCCTTATTATAAAAAGAAGATATTTTACTGAAGATATTAGTCAATCCGCATATACAGAGAGACAATATCAATGAATTGCGATTTCTAACATCATGTACGCGTATTCGTGTCCACAATCATAAACTAAATTATAAAAAGAATATTTACAATATATGTGTCTGTATGTTCTAATAGCTACAGGGCATATACGGATAAGACATTAGACAACGCACTAGTGAGAAAATGGGAATTATCATAAGAAGGCTGTTCTGTTTTTCTGAACTGTTCCCAATTTCAAATCAAAAGTGACAATGCATCTACAAGCTGCATTCGTGTCCCAATATTCACTAAATTCTGCATCAATCGGAGGAATATCATATCATTAATTTGCGAGCACCCCCGCAACCAAATATAATATTGTCGATATATATGGTATACACCTTCAATGTAAAGTTCTACATGTGAAAACTCAAAACCCAAGTATTCTTCTCGGAGTTTGTTATCACCTGTGTCTGTGACTCGGTTACAAATGATGGTGTATAACTTCTCCAGCGCAATGAACATGGATGGAAATCAAATGTTCATATAAGGAAGGTGATGACAACTGAATCTCAAAACTACTCGGAATAATGGGGGGATTGCTAAATATTAGATCTTTCACTAGAGTGTAATAACCACATGTATACCTTTTTTACACGATATTTACACACGCATTTAACTTTATTAAATATATTTGAACACAGTTTACACATTATAAATGTACATCGTGTTGCCACACTGCCACATTTGCCACACTGAATTGATCATTCTGAACACAATATGGTTATAGCCTGCAACCTCGGGGTATCGCGGTACTTGTCATGTACGCTAAACGGAACAAAATGCACTCACTAACCTTTATGATTATTCGTGATCTGTATATCAGATATCATTCATGTTATCTAACAATGCATATTTTACTGATAAAAGTTCATTATTTACATTAGTAGCTCCGAGTAAAAGCCGGGCCTCGCGCTCTGTTTGACAAGGGAGAGAACTCCATCGTATCGCGGTACAGAGAAAAGTTGTGTATGGAGGTCCGAATTGGACAAAAAGAGGACATAATTCTACCAACCACTTGGTATGATCATGCCAGACATCAGTGATTTGTCCAGACAAGTGCAAAGACAGCACAAGTAAAATTCTAAATGTATTATCAGCAATAGGTATTCAATGCATTTTTAACCGAAAAGTAAGAGAAAAATATTTTTATAAGTCAACAACAAAATATCAGAAATTATATTTTAAGATTGTCTAAAATAAAATGGATGACAATAATTTGTCACAAAATGGAATTTTTTTAAAAGTCAACAATAAATATATTAAAAGCACTCCTAGTATGCCCAAAGTATGTATTTATCTTTTGATTACTAGTGAAGAACGTATTTCTAAGTTTGGTATTATGGCCCTTATGATCTCCCAATAGATTCTGGGCACTGAGCGGGAAAAAATGTGCGGACTACGTAACTTCCGTTACCTCATTAGTCGCCATGAATATGCAGATGATCTAGTTCAGGTCGATAGAGAAAGTTTACTTGGAGAACTGCGGGTTATATCGTTGGCCATTGATAGATGGGGCAAGGCAATATTACAACAGATGCCAGAAATATGTATCAACGGATTAATAACTCCTTACTTACAGCAGACGGAACATTCCGAGGAAATTGAAATTGTTTACGAAATGTGCAGTTCCTGGTTACTGATTTGCATTAATAGACAGCCGCTAACAGGCGTGTCCCGCGTGAACTATCGGAAATCACAAATGCCGCGATACGATGGGGTCCGAGTATACACCGGTTATCAAATACTACATGTAATGCACTTCATATTGTTATCAAGGGTAGCTGTCTGGCCACGCTAATCAGGACGCCCCTCCATACATGTACATTGTATGTGGTTTTTAACCAAGTACATGTACATTGTATGTGTTTTTTAACCAAGTACATGTGCACACATCAACTGTGATATGACCAGTGTCAACGCGGTATTTATCTAACCACTACATCAGTATATGCTGACATATGAAGACAAGAGACACGATTTAAGTGGATCATCAATCAAATATTCATGACAATAAAAATATTTAATGACAGCATTATTATAGCAGGAATATTTTACAAACTGGTGTTTACATGCATTTATCAAACATTACATGTACCTCAATCCAATCACAGTGTAGCATCATAGTATACATTGTACATGTATGGAGACTATTGCTATGTGTTGACGGCGTGAAGTCCCATATAATTCCTAATTAGTGCCTTTAAGCAATAAAAACGGTTTCGCAGAAATTCGCGGTTTGCAAATCATTCACGAATTATTGGCAACTTATCCGCGGAATATTCGCGGATTATTCGCAATTTTGCTGGAGAACACGATAACTGACTTTTGCGACGTAGTGTTGAAGTGTACATACAGACCTGATAAACAACACACAAATTAATTATATCCGAGGTTTTACGAATAAGTGACACTCATAGAGGAAAATTGTTTTTGTTTAATTTCCTTTCCGTTTTGATCATCTTTAAACACACACACACACACACACACACACACACACACACACACACACACACACAACTG